CTTGCCGATGTGCCGCCTTGCTGCAAGCGGGTGATTTCAGCGTTGGCACAGAGAGAAGTCTGTCCCAGTGGAGGAGCTGCAAAGAGCTGCGGCTGCCGCCTCTGGATCCCGAGCAGCGCAAACAGGCACAGCTGGGCGTCTCACCGGCAAAACGCCTAGGTGACAAGCCTGTCCGGCAGGCGAAGAAGCTGGCGGAGAAGTATCCGGAGATCAAGTGCGAGAGCTATGGCTTCGGGGAGGAACGAGCTTCGGCCGCAACACGGACCGACGATAAAAGGTGCCCTCGTGTCCGCGAGCGTCGCAAGGTAGATTGCATCTCTTCAAGTCCTCAGCATCTCTGAAAGCCGGCCTGGCAAAGGAAGGCCGGAGAGTGCGTCTCTTGCATTTTGTTGCATGCAGCATAATGTATGGCCGCGACGGCAGGTTCGAGGGAAGGGGCGCGAGCGGAGTGTGCTTCGGATCAGTCAACAGCCGTTTCAGGCACGCTTGCTAGCCTCCGTTCCCTGCAGAACTCGATTCCATGTTTTTGGGCCAGGAGCAACTTCACCCGACTCTGCAGAGGACGCTTCTGGCGGTGTCTTTGAGGAGCGGTGCAAGGGCTCGAGCAGTAAGAGTTCCAACGATGTCACCTGGCAGCAGGACGTCGCGGCACTGCCCTCGAATCTTTACCAGGTGAGGAACACTTTCATCCACATCGAGGCATGGCTGCGGGATACCGCTGGTATGCGGCACACCTGCTCGCTGAGAAAGGGCTGCGGAGCGCGAGAGAACGTACCCACGAAATGGGGAGGAGCAGGGAGTGGCAGATCAGCGCAACATCCAGTCCATGCCTCACGGCATGCAACCCGACTGCAAAGCTTGTCGGGCAGTTGCACTTCTCGGGTTTCGCTCGCAGATCTTTTCTTTGGAAGGTTCCGACAGCGCCTGCAAGAAGAGGCCGTGCAACATGCGACGCACCGCGTCGCAGGTGCGCCCGGGCCTGCCAAAACTATCAATACACTCAGACTTATATAGACGGTTGTTACCTGGTGTTGGCGTCCTTCTACTCAATCAGGCCCAGTTCCGGAGTCAACTGCCACTGCGACACCTTCCATTCCGGAGGTCCCAGAGGTCACGAAGGCCAGCGACTGCACAGCACTTGCTTCTCGGGCCGCCGTCCCTGCGCCAGGACTTCGCTCCCGGTACGGAG